CTTAAAAACTCTGACTTGTCATGAAAACTCCTGTGAACAATTTTCCTCTTGATATATTACAAACTTAGATTGTAGACCACTCCATTAATATATCTTTTGTGTGTTCTATAAAGAGAGCTGATAAACAGGTGCTAAAATAATGCAAAGCAATGCATGACAATTTAATTAAGGTATAAACAAAATTTTATGTTCAGAGTTTCTATTCCTTTTTTGCACTAAAAATTAATCTGTAGCAATATAAAACAGTTCCCGCCTACCTTAGTGAACAGGTTATTAAACATCGGACATTATTTCTCTCATACAGTACCAAGAAAGCAGTAAGTAATGTCTTTAAATATTACAGATTTTTAAATATAATTTTGTGTTCTGTACAATGTCATTTTTCACTGGATAAGGTGCAGAGATGGGATCTCTCAACTTAAGGATACTTATCAATGTATATGTTTAGCAATGTCTACTACCTTTTTTAAAAGACAAAAAAATTCAACTAAGTTCACTTTTCTACCTCAGAGATAACAGACGGCCTTAAAAAATGGAAGTGAAATACTTATTTAAAAAACCCAATGTCATGCCATGAATTAGTTCAACTTCATAATGAAGCTTACGACAAATAAAATATCTGGTGCCACAGCAAGAAATTGCTATGAGAAATATTTTCATTTCCAGTAGCAAGAAGTCCTTTCTAAGGGAAGGAAATGAATGAAACAAATCTTAAGGTCATGAACAGCCCTGTAATTTTAAAGACAGTAGCAATCTTAAAATGGTAATTGCTTCAACACTTCCCTTTTTCAACTCTTGTAATATACTGCTCTGCACAGTATGACACTCTGCTACCTATGGTGGTTATTCAAACTTGACTCATTTAAACAAAAAAATGTAAAGCTATAAAGCTTCAAATAAAGAATGGGATAGGCTTAGTGTGATGTTTTTCAATCAAGCTGCATTTCAATTTTCATTAGAGGCATTTAGAACAGAATTCTTAAGCTTCTACAAATCATGAATATCTTATTCTACCTTAGAAAATCAAAGCCAACTTTACAAAGATATTCCTGATAAAAATATAAATAAATGATA